ATGGATGCAATATAAAATTACCATGTGCATTGACAAAACCAATGTCTGTCTTGGTTTCGAATGTGCCTGAATACATTCAAAAGGTTGGCTTGTATGAAGCCAAATGAAAATAATTTACAAAATATGACACATGGCACTTTTATTAACCTCATCCATTTCGTATGAAGTTATTAAATCCTCTATAAAAATGGTTATGGATGATTATGACCCGCGGTACCTCAACTTGCATAAATGTTATTCATTTTTGATTCCTTTTAACTGTTAACTGTAATAACCCATCCTAAGTAATTGGAACCGACCTAGATAAGTCTGAGGGACTCACCAGAGAATTAAAAATGAATAAAAAGAGCAGCTTTAAAGAGGATGACTTTAGTTCACAGGAACCCTTTAACTCTCAACTCTACAATATAAGGAGCCATAAAAAGGTAATAGAGACTTACTGTTATGGCATGTGTTATATATTACAGACATGGGAAGAAATATTGCCCTAAATTCTACATTTACTTCACTCAAGAAGGCATTTCACATCCTCAGAAGTGTAAATATCAACCTTTATCAAAACATCTTGTTAAAAACTACTAGTATGAGTTAGATGATCACGCCAAGTCTGTTTTTGAAGATAAAATAAACTGAAGCAGCATGTGCACTGAAAGCAAAGTGAGACTGAGCTGGTAGTGCAATGTGATGAGCGAAGAAAAGCAAATACAAGTCAGAAAATGACAGTGTGTATGTGCGTGTCAGTTGGGCGGCTGTTTGCTGACGTTAACCAAATCAGTTAATCCTGAGAGTTTTAGTTATGCAAGCAGGGTGATTAATGCCAGCAGGTTGCACCGGATTCTTTCCTCAGTGTGAAGAAAGCAACAACAGCCTGTTAGCCAACGCTAACAAAAGTCATAAGCAAGAACAGATGCAAATTAGCATCTCTTTGCAGCATCAGAAGCAAGACTGCCATGGACGGAAGGAAGGAGAAGGGCGCTCAGATTAGCAGCCAAAAGCAGCGATGATGATGAGCTAGTGCTAAAGAAAAAAGGGGCAAACACCGAGCCACTTACAAACTCCGCACATCACAGCAAGCCGTTCTTCACAGGAAGAAGACAGAGCAGGAGGAGGGGGTTGTGAGCGATAGAACAGGAGTGGATTGGAAAGAAAAAGCTTGATTAAAGTCGTCTTCAAGGAAGGGAACAATATCCTCATCTCAAAACTGTGGGTCTGGAAAACTCATTATACTCCAAAGGCATTTCAGAAAGTCATCTTAGCAACATTACAGATTTCATTCATTCAAGCACCAAATGTCATACGTGGCACTATGTGGAGGATTGTAGAGAGGGAAAAGTGAAAGAAGACAGGAGTGAAAATGAGCAGTAATAAATGGATGATGTCTAAAATAAAAACCTTATCAAAACAGCAAAAATATGAATACATGACATATTTACACATCACAGACGCATATGTCTCCATCGTTCACCCACGCACTAACCTGAAGTCCTCAGAGCCCAACACCTCAGTGTAGTACATGACTTTACACTTGTGTGAGGAGACCTGGAGGGTGGCCAGCACGTCATCCACTCTGGGCAGGTTGGTGGCCGAGCAGGCCGCCATGTTGTGGAACTTCCACTGGAGGATGTAGAAACCCGGCCACCTGGTTATGTGGGAACCCTGAGGAAAGGAAGGATTCAAAGTGCAAACAAGCAGAAATGAGGATCTGTAGAAGCAACAATGATCCAAGAAGACATCAAAAGTTCACGATCATAAACCAACCTGCACGCTCTCGCCCTCCTTGCAGGTGAGCGGAGACTCGACCATGCTGTAATCCTGACCCAGCGTCCAGGACTTGTCGATGAGCTGCACGTTGTTGCCTCCTGGGGAGGTGATGCCGTGGGCTCCCAGGGTATCTTTGCGTGGTACTTGCGGAGCTCGCTTTGAGTGGTAGATGTTGAAAACGATGTCGCCTTTGCACACGTCGAAATCCCAGGTAATAACCGAGGAGGCGTCGATGATCTCGATCACAATCTGATGGAGGTGGAAGAAATTAAGCAGGTTTACATAAAGTGCATGGGCTGTATAAGATGATGTTTTTGGCATTAAATGTGAATCGACTGATTGCAAAAAGAAGTACGGCTATGAAGACGTGTGGGAAAATAACTCCAGGATGCCACACTTTTTTTTATTATTATTATTATTATTATTATTATATATAGCTGCCTCCACCAGTGTGTGTATGTGAGAGTGAATGAATAATGGCATTGTAAAGCGCTTTGGGTGCCTTGAAAAGCGCTATATAAATCCAATCCATTATTATTATCATTATATGTGGGAAAATGGTATCACTTCAAGAGGGGAAAGAGAAGTATCTAAAACATATGACATATGAATGCAGTTTTTAGGCCTGGTGACTGCAGGCAGATTATATTTCAAAGTCACGCTACATGTGTTCCTCGTCTGAATTCAGAATCTACCTAAGATGCGTTTAACAAGTTACAACCACTAGGTGGCAGAAAGTTTCACAACACCTCCATCAGAGGCACTGTGCGGTTCTCTGTTGTCCTGACCTACTATTCATATCAGAGCGACACAGGCCTTCCATCGTTTTCTTTTACTTTCCGTGC